TATATGTTGCAGTTGCCCTCTATACATAAAAGTATATCGATGTGACAGTGTCGAGAGTTCGTAAATTAATGTTAACCATGAAGAAGTTAAGAAGAGTAGCTGATGGCACTCTGCTTAAAACGATCTACTACTCTGTTAAGAAAGTACCAGGAAAAGTTCAATAATAGACAAAATGTTTGTTATTCATCCAAATTTAATTTATCACCTTCAAAGTATGCTGTATGGTGTTTGTTGAGTGTTTGGTCAAAAATTCGTTCACAATAATGGCCTTGTGCGAAGGCGCATTATCGTGGTGCAAATTCCAAGATTTTTTTTTCCAGAAATCTGGCCTTTTTCGTCGAATTTGCTCTCTTAAATGCCGCATAACGCTCAAATAATATTCTGTATGTAAGAAAACAATCAACATGACTTTGACTTTCGATCGACTTTGGCGTGGTTTTTACGGTTTCGGTTCAGTTGCAAGGCGCTACTCCGACGCTTGTTGACTAGTTTGTATGTCAAACTCGTAAACCCACGTCTCCTCACCAGTAACAATGCCTTTTTAATGAATGAATTGAATGGAATTGACTCGTTCTAGCATGTCCTCAGCGACTCTCATGCGATTTTTTTCATAAAATTCGGGCCTTTTTAACATGTTTCATACCCAAATGTTTAGTTAAAATGGTACGAATCGACTCGTGAGATACAGAAACTTATCTATCTATTTCTCTCAAAATTCAATAAGAATTTTCAGTAACTATTTTCTTCACTTTTACGATGTTAACTTCAGTTCAGACGTTGATGGCCAGAGCGAGGAAAATCTTCCATCACATCTCGACCGCTTTTGAACGCTTTGTATTACTCATACGCACATGTTTTTGATAAAGGCCATTCACCCTAAGCCCTCTGTAATATTTTAGTGACTCCGAACACGAAATTCCATTGGCAATGCAAAATTTAAGACAAACTCTTTGTTCGATGTTTTTGTCCATTATGAAATTTACAATACACACTTGATATGATATAACTAAAACAGCACTGATTTAATATAAATAACAGATGCAACTTAAACTCCGCGCCAAAATGGAAGACAGTTGTGCCAATCTAACAACAACAAAAAAATTAAAAATTTGAATTTGGAACCATAAAGAAGATAGTTTTTTTATTGAATGCATTGAGAGAGAGCACAAAGAGTTGTCCTAAAAGTCATGCTTCACAAACCCTATCGCTATCTAACAACCCAGCTATTTAAAGATATATCTGTTCTCACTGTCCGACAGCTCTGTGCCCTTAGGATCATTTTACGTTCATTATTAACCAACGACCTTAAGTTATTGGAGCATAAACAACGTAAACATTTTGTCTGTCCCACTATATCTGCCAAAACCCAAGTCACAGTGGACATCTATACAACACTATCAACAAAATTTGCAATATATATCCCTTACCCAAAGTAAAATGTAAACGTGTTCTTAAAAGTTACCTTCTAGGGCTGACCTACGGTGAGATTGAGCAACTATTTAAAAAAAAAACTTTGTACCTTATCCCTAACAACAGTTCAGTACACACGCGTGCACACACACACACGCACACGCGCAAACACACACTTCCACACGTATAGTTTTTAATAATAATAAATTATATAATTGTTTAAGTAACTTTTTAACAGCTACTCATCTTATCTATGATAAACCAACTAATGTCACATAAACTGTAAGAGGAAGGTGTCAGTGACTGTAACACAGTTAACACTATCATAGACACTGACGTTCACTCTGTCTCTAAAGAATACGCAACGTTTTATAAAACTATGATTTATGATGGACAAAATGTATTGGGCCTTTTGATAATAAATTATTATTATTATTATATATTGTATCTACTTATTACAAACGTATCTTACACTAAAAATGGTATAACAATGCCTTTAAAAAAAGTTGAACCGACTGCAAAGAATACTAAGAGCACTCAAAATTTTATATTTTTTTATTACAAATCTAATTGAAAAAACCAAAATAAATGCTACCCTTAATATAACAGGTAATATTATAACAGTAATAGATACCTTCTGGTCTGTTCAGTCTGTAATAGCATTAGCTCAAATAATCTCTTTGGTGAGTGTTGGTCTTATAATTAACTTAGTTATTATGGATGAAGTACAATTCAGAACATCAATTCATACCCGCTCAGTGAGTAATAAATCAAGTGAAATAGTTTAATACGTTTTACATTAATTAAACGTGTTGTCAAATATTTCACAATAAGCTTTGTAGCGTGTAGCTTTGTCGTAATATTATGGATTTTGTGACATAATAAACAAAGATGTATATTCTAAGGATGACAGTTATCAGAAACTTTAAAATACAATTAATTGCATGATAATATAGTAAAGTTTAGGTAGTAATTTTAACAGTAAGTGTGCGTGTGCGTATGTGTGTGATATAAATTTTAGTCACGTACCTACATTGTTTTCTCATATTAAATACTAGCTGCCCCTGCAAACGTTGTTTTTTTGTTTTTTGAATTTCTTAAAATCCGTTCTTAGCTGACCTCTACTCGGTGAAAATAATATTCCTACCAAATTTCAAGTCTTTAGCTCTAATGGTTCCAGAGATATCGTGATGAGTGACTATATACGTGGAAATCTCTTATACCATCTACCATCTCATACCATCATACCATCTTATACCATCTGTTATACCATCTACTTATTTATTATAAGAAATAATTCTTAATGCTGTTATTGTGAATTCACTCAGTGAGCAATAAAATAAATCTACTTCATCCGCAATTATATTCAGAGTACGTAGTGCGCGCGTCAGCGGTGCTTCTCTCTGCAGGTTGGTGCGCTCGCACGGGACAGCCAGCAGCGGCGGCCGGCGGCGCCGCCACACGTATCTGTCCGGAACACATATGCTGACTCGTCCTAACACGTCTTCATTATGTATCCCACCCCTAAGTACCCTAAACAGGTACGAGACGAGTGTGAGTTCCCTTCTGACCCTCAGTTCATTGTATCCCACCATACCCAGAATAAATAACGTGGGATACATTAATGGATACAATGGGTATACTTCATAGTATCTGAAGTACAAAAACCTAACAAATTTATTTTGAACTCGCTCCAACATGAGGCTATATTTAGCTTCATGTGGGGCCCAGATGACTGCGTTACTCTCTAGCTGACTTCTTACCAACGCGTTATACAATGCTATAATTGTATTTAGGTTTCTAAAGTCCTTTACTGTTCGTAAAACAAAACCCAAATTCCTATAAGCTTTTTTACAGCATTTCACTATGTGATCACGAAATCTTAGCTCAGTGTTAACATAAACCCCTAAATCCCTAACCTCTGTGACCCTTACCATCTGTGTCCCGTCTAAATTATAGTTATACGAGATGGGTTCGCGTAAGCGTGAGAAGGTGATAGCCACGCACTTCGAGGTATTAAACTGCAAGAGATTGTCTCTACTCCAGGTTACCACCCTATCTATGTCTGTCTGAAGCTTCTTGCAGTCCTCCAAGTTGTTAATAGGGAGGGAGAGCTTGAGGTCGTCTGCGAACAGTAAGCATTTCGCATCCTGGACTACTCTGGGTAGATCATTAATCATTATAATGAATTCTAGAGGCCCAAGGTTGCTACCTTGACTTACGCCAGACCTGGTGAAATATGGCTCCGATACATGCCCCCCGTATTCCACGTACTGCTGCCTACCTTGCATGTAGCTGGCAAAAAAATTAAGCAAGTGGGGGGTGAAACCGATGCTAGCTAGCTTCTTCAGTAGCACGTCATTATTGACCAGGTCAAAGGCTTTCCGGTAGTCGAAGTATGCAGCGTCAACTTGACCTCCTCGGTCTACCACCGGGACCACCTCTGTTGTGTAAGCGAGCAGGTTGCTAGTAGTGCTCCTTTGGGGTCGAAATCCATGCTGAGCATCTGCAAGCTGCGGGCTTACTTGTAACAGAATACTATTGTGGATGGCGGACTCGAAAATTTTCGCTGGGGTCGACAGGACTGCAACAGGCCTGTATTCATCAACCCTTGAACCTGATCCACCTTTCGGCACTGGTATGACGCGAGTTAACTTCCACCTGTCTGGGAACATCATTGCACTTAAGCATTTATTATAAATATGAAGCAAAGGCCCAGCCAACACTGACCGACAATCCCTAAAGATGTAAGGCGGGATGCCATCAGGTCCTACTGACCGCTTTGGTTTCAGTCTTTGCATCGCGCGTCCTACATCCGGTAACTGTAGTCGGTCGAGATATATTCTTGCTCCGGCATTCTCGCTACCCGCTTCCGCCATCGCCGCTTGCACATTAAGCTTCGGTATCTCGGTGCTATATACGGAATGGAAGTAATCAGCAAATTCTCTAACGCACTCCTCACCAGCCAGTACAACCCCGTCTTTTAAAATCGTTTGTGTGTTCCTTGAGCTTCTCTTTGATTTAATGTAGTTCCAGAAGGATTTAGGATCCTCCTGGAATTCTTTTTGAATGCGGTCTTCGTATTCTTGTTTAGCCATTCGTATCTTATGTTTTGTCATAGCCCTACACTGAGCGAAGGCCTCGTAATCACTATTTTGTCTGCTCGATTTGTATCGCTTATGAAGTACCGCTTTTAATTTTATGTCGCGAATTATTTCAACAGTGTACCACTCGGGGTAAGTGTACCTCGAGCTTACACGACTTCGCTTTTTTCTAGGAACGCAGTCATCGATAATGGAATTTATCCTATCATAAAAAAAAATTAAACTCATTTCTAAATTTAAAACATATATCGGAGACCAGTCAATGGCCCCTATTTGTGAATACAAGGACTGGAAATCGGCTTTATTAAAATTCCATCTTGGTAATGCCTCGTGTATGTACTTACCAGTTGTATACCGGTAGTGTGGCGGCGTCTCCGAACCGACGCCGGTACGGCCTCCGCCGGATATATATATAATTTACATGCGATTGTTTTAATGTCGGTGTTTCCCAATGAAATAGTAAACATTCACAACATAAGTACTCACTCTGCTGAGCGCAGCGGGATGTGGATAAAGGTTGACAAGGCAGGATTCTCGTCGAGTGCGATAGTCCCATCTAGTTTCTAAATGGGGCAGTTCCATTGTGTCGCAGATGGATTGGACATGGGCTGCTGCCGGTGCTGACTGAGGACCAAAAATAGCTGCCACACCGCTTCTTAAAAGGTGACACACTGTGAGCAAAAATAGTAATGTAGACAAATGTTACTTTCTTATTTATTTAAATAAAAATAAGATGTAGTTCATTCGTAAGTGCATCACTTAACAACGACAACCAATTTCACTAATTATTTCTTTGTGTGTGAATAATAATAATAGCAGTAAAATTTTTAGAATAGGAAAAAAGTTAAAAGTTATCCATAAAATTGAGAAGTTTGGGTACAATTCAAAGTAATTTTTTTATATAATTAAAACGCATTTACAGTAATTATCTATTTTAACACAGCGTACAAAATCCTGTGCCACGGGACTATACATGAAACAGATACAAAGAACACCCAGACTCATAACAACATTTTGAGGATTACACTAATTGTTGTCCCTTGTGGGGATCGAACCCACAACACTCAGCGAGATGACCGCGCACCACTACGCCATCCGAGTGGTCAAACAGTAATTCCAACAGCATAAAGTCTGTAGAGCCACCTGGTATAATATAAAATAGTTTTTGTAACAAATTCTTCGAAATACAATGACAATAAAATAATATTAACATTTTGATGAAAAAATAATAATAAAGATATTTTCTTTTCATTAAGAGAAAACTATTTCAAACTAGAATTTAAATAATAAACATCCAACGTGACAACTTTTTTTTATATAAGAGGGGGCAGACGACTAGACGGGTACCTGATAGAAAGTGACTACCGCCGCCCATAAACACCTGCAACTCAGGAGTCACAAACGCGTTAGTTACGCGTTTAGTGGCTGTGTAAAAATGTTCCTAAGCCACAAAACAATATTCCATCTTTTGTTTGTTTGTTAATATGAAATCACAAAAGTCATCTGAGACTTTAGTACGGTTAGATTATTGAGGTTCCACGGTTCCATTGTAGTTCATACTACCTATGAAAATAAAAGTCGTACAACCTGTGATAATAACCTACATCTTTCAAAAGAGACGAGTGGTAATAAAATGTTACAAAATATTTTAATAAGAAATTTTGCACCTTTTATAGTAACAATCTCTCACACAGCAATTATAATGACAAGACACCACTTGTTTGCTATCCATTGACTAATTTCTCTATACACATAAAAGAAAAATTTAAAAGAAGCGGTATACTCACGGCACTTTTCTTTACAGTAGAGCAATTCAATGACGAAATTCTCTTAAATATATTTTTGAGAGTTTTTTAGGGAGCCAAATTATGCGTCAAATTTACCATCGAGCAAACATTAAATATTATGATTTAATATTACAAGAGCCTCCCTAGAAACTAGGGTGGTTAAACATATTTATGGTTAGGATTCTTTTTTTATGGACGAGGCTCTTTATAGAAAGGACTTGAGAGCGAAGAGTGGCGGCGTACGGGTAGGAGGCCGATGTGAATGAAATTAAGGAATTTAATTTCAGATAAGTCAGGTAGAATGCAAAGGCGGGTGACAAACTTGTCCTAAAAGCCACAAAAAAACAAAATCATTGAAATTAACATAAAAGTATCCACTTTCATGTTAATTAGTGTTTCATGTTAAAATGATGGTTTGAGTTCAAGATATGTTCAAGGTGTGATATCCCGTATATTTCAACGTTTTAGAAAAATGTGTATTATATTTTATATTTATAAAATTATATGGACATCATTGATAAAACTTTAGTGATCAAATTACCTAGATGTTATTAATAACTTATGACCCATATCAGTTAGATACAAGATTAAGATAATTGTACCATTAAACTGCACTAATCTTGCAAGACATTTGGTTAGGAATTAATAATTACATAGTGAAGTGTAGATATAAGACGGTTTTAACACCATAATAACATTAAATTAAAAATTAAAAAAAACCGTCGACACAGATCTTGGCTTTGAAATTTGTCATAGTGTATATATTCTACTCGACAAGCGCTTTCATTTAATACCCATATTGAGGTAGTTGTGAAAAAATATGTAATCCGCCATTTTATGGCGGCGGCCATCTTGGACAGATTTTCATCAAACATAGCTAAGAACACTCCCGACTAATTCACCTTTCAAACAATAAAACAAAATTAAAATCGGTTCTTCCGTTTGGGAGCTACGATGCCACAGACAGACAGACACACACACACACACACACACACACATACAGAAAACGTTAAACTTATAACACCGCGTCGTTTTACGTCGGGGGTTAAAACATGTTTTTGTCTATTCATTGCACCGTTTATTCAAATCACAATACTATAAGCATGATGTTCAAACATTTTTATAAATCATCTAAATGCGAGCATTCATGTCGAGAATTCCAGATGAAATGTATTACTTTGAACAGATTCGATCAAATGAACGTACACATCTCATAACAAGAAAAGTATTAACACTTGGCATTTAAGCTGAATAAAATGTAGCTTTTAATTGATGGCTACTTGTATTCACGTTTTGGCAGTCTAATATTACGACACTTAACTCCCGTAGTATATCCTAACAATATGCTGATTCTTCTTCTCATTTTATATAACAAGGTTTAGTCGTGTTTAAGCATGACAAAATCTGTTTCAGTTTTAAAATAGGTAGGTTTTTCTTCTGTTGTGATTATGTCTGACTATCGTCGTCACCGTCCTAGCCAAGGGCAACCTCCCACGTCCTAACATTCTTGTGTTCTGGGTAACAAAGTAAATGTTCAGTATCAGTTCAAAATGAGTACGAAATATTTTCGTGAACCACACGTTATGGTCTGCCGATAAAAATAGTATATTAGCGTAATAGACAAAAAACCACTAAATACCATGTTAACAAAATTGAAAAGGTTGTGTGTGCGAGTTTTACAGACGGGTGATGATGACTGATTATTTTTGTGTAAAGACATAGATACATAAGAAAGATATTGTATTGTTTTTTAGTTCGTTTAATATCTTAATAAAAATAAAGTGTTTATTGCACATTTAAAATTTAATACAAAACCATTTTGTGCATATATCTACAAAAATAAACATTTTGAAATTTAAACCCCAAAATCCGAACGGGATACTGTTATAACAGGACACTTTTGCAAACTTTATGTATATAATTTTAACTATATATTGGTATATCTCTGCCCCAAATTACGCTAGTATATTTTATGGGCCTAAGATATCGCCTGTGACTTCGTCATAAAGGAAAGGGCGTTGATGCCTATGATCATGTACTCGTATTTTCTGCTCAGAAGTCTGACGAAATGTTTGGATATTGTTGGTAACATCGATCACTTTTAAGTCAAAGAACATGTCTTTTTCCTCTCTCCATTACATTATCTCCCTTTTTCTGTTCGCTTCCAAAACCTTCGTAAACGCTGTCAACTTCACTGTAGTAAAAAAAAAACTTTTCAAGAAATGTACAATGGTTTATCATCAGACGTCTTAGCTTTTGTGATTGACGATTAAAAAATATAACATAATGCCCAGTGGTTAACTTCTACCCTATTTCTGTCAAAGTTAGTAATGATAGACACCGATTTATCTTCATTAAATAAAGGATGAAAAGGATATCTAGAAACTTGGTGGATATATTATGGTGGAGATTAGGCTTTGAATTAGTGGCTGCTGAGCGATAACGGTCATATTCGGGTCTTTCTGATCGAGACATTTTCGTAATTTTGACAGGCTACTTTTGATGGCTCATTTTATAGATTATACAGATCAAGTCCATGTAATTTATAGTTAGTATAGTGTTCGTATTTTAAAGTTGATGAATAATTTGTTGGTGAACAAAAATGATGATGAATCTAATACAATTTAAAACCTATTAGCTGAACTTCTTTAGAAAATATAAAAAGAGTTTTTGAATTTAAGATTAGACGTTTTTGTTTGTTGGATCGTCATTTAAAAATAATGGATAGGTTATTGCCATTTTACTGTGGATTTAAGTATAAGCGTCTGGATTTTATCGAATCAAAAAAGAGAATACTAAAAGTAACTAATAACGTAATCTCTATGATGTAAGGATAAACTAGTAAACGATTTCATTTTTTATTATTTTTAAATACACCTGTTTTTATAATGAATGTACCTAATATACAATATTCATCTTGTACTATTAAATTAAGATTAAGAATACTCAGTGTCAACACCCGATGTAAGAGCCGACTAAGAGAGCAAACTAAGCAGGACTACAGCCCTGCAAAGAGAAGGGAAACTTGAAACAAACCGTATACCAACCCGTCTAGCTAGCGTAATATAGTAGGCCAAATTTGTTGGGGATTTATGACATTTATAAAACGACTAAATAAGAATAGAAGATGCTATAGAAGCAGAAAATCGTCGTCCGTGTGGCGATGGATAAAGAATACGGAGTGTCACCACCCCTGTTCATGCCGTGGGCGTCGTAAGAGACGACTAAAGGAGCAAACTCCGCAGAACAACAGCACTGCAAAGAGAAGGAGAACTTGAAACTAACCCTATACTAACCCGTCTGGCCAGCCTGGTATAGTAGGCCAAAACCTCCTTTCTAAGGAGGGGCCTATGTCCAGCAGTGGACTGTTAAAGGCTGTTGATGATGATGATGATGATGATATCCAACTTTTTTTGCAACTTTTCCAACTTTAAAGGTTATTGCCTTAAATGTTTATTATAGCAGTGGTACAGTAATAGTGATACAATAAACATTTTATATGTAATTTTAAATTTAGTGATTCATGTTACTCTAAACTCTAAAGTAACAAATATAAAATTTATACAACGCAACATGAGCATAGGGATGTGCTTTTGGTAAAGTTATTTTTGTGGTTTGATGGTATCTTCTTGACTTCGAAAAATTAAAAACTGAAAATGCCTGAGGGCATCCTATACTATGTTTGCCGAGACGCGATCTTCACTCAAGAAAATCTTTTTGAGAACAAAAAAGTAAATCTACATTAAGAAAATTAAATTTCTTTTATACTTAAAGCGAACGTCAAACAATTTGTGAATGTCATGCACTTGATACCTACTCAGTATTGTTTAACAAATTCCAAAAAGAAGAAGGTACTATGTTTGGCTAGATGAATGTAAAACTCCATTTAGATTATATGAACTGATGTAATCTACGAACCAATGAAACTATAATTATTATAAATTTTATTTATTGTAACCGTAGTACGTTTTACTACGGTTACAATAAATAAAATATTATGGTTTTATTTATTTACAAACGTAAACGTAAGGTAAAGTATTGGGTTAAATACGAACCTCGTTTTGATGCATGAAAGCTATCTTGTGGTGATATCGTCTCCACTTGTGCGAGTAGCTTCGCTCTTGGAAGCACTGCCCGGTCTGCGTTCACGCGCTCTACTGCGTATCGGAAGGCAACCTCCTGCTTTTCATCCTCTGGGTGAAATAGACCACCTAAGAAATTAAAAAAATAATAGTAGTTACAATACGATAACAGTATTATTTTGGACGGTTTAGTTCCTACTATTATCGTTACAAACGAAATTTTAGTGTCATTATTAAATTTTAGAGATAATGATATAATGAGGCATTTCCAAATTTCAGTTCGACTAACGGCATCCGACTCAGGAATTGCAAAAGTCTATAGTAGACTGCTGTTAATCAGGATTGTTAGCATAGTATTGTATTTTTGTTGAAGAAGTTGGTCCCAATAGCATTCTTTTATTTTTAGTCTTTAGGTAGCATTCGGGTTCTAGCGACCGCGAATCGGGACCGTGAACCGCGACCGCAACAGGGTCACGCTTTGTGCTTTGTGAGAATTTACATGGAGTACATTCGGTTCCTCGCGACCGCGTCGCGTGACCGGTGGGCGTTGAAATTTGGCGGGGTGGCGACCGCGACCCGGTCGCTCTAGAGGCAGTGCAGTCGCGCGACGCAGGTGATAAGCGCATTAAAGTGGCGGCGTTTCCACCGAACGAGGACGACAAATTGATTGAATTGGTGAACAAAAAGTAACTCTCTTCTTCTCGTGTTGAGAAAATTTAGTCAATGTTTATTCTCCTTTGCCGGAGGCATAAATAATAACATAATAAAATTATCATCATTGTTTTCTTCCCCCAGCAGCTGCTGAATAGGTTTTTCCTACATACGGCCAAATTTTCGTACATATCGCACTGCAAAAAGATACAACGCGTTGCTGACATCGGCAAACTATGGACTCATTGGCCTATTATATTTACCCTGCATACAATACTATTAAAACAGAGAAATTATTATCAAACAATTTCAATGTGTTTTGTGGTATAAACGAAAATCCACATTTTTGTTTGTGCGCTGCTTACTATACTTACCTAGATTTAAATAACGATAGATTGTTTTCAATTCTCATTTAAAACCATTTAAGACCGTTTTAGTTTACTTAAATTCATTATCTTAAATTGAAAGTTATCTACATGAAAGTGTGAATTTATTCAAATCTAGTATTAATACGAGTATAGGTAGTCTAGTATTAACAAAAGTATTTACACTAGACTACCTAAAGTACTTGAAATAATGTGATTTAGGGACATCTAATTTATTTCCCCTCAGGTCTTTTTAGATCTGAGGACCGTACTTACTCGTGCATAAAAACCTCCACCAATATTCTTGGCTAATCGCAAATCGATTGTTGTAGGGAGAAGCAATTTGAGGGTAACTTGGCAGATTATATCAGTTAATGTAATTTCGACCTCAATAATAACACCTTAATAGTAAATACACGTAAATATTTTTAATTTTCAATCTTAAATATTTTATTCAATAAATTAATCTATTTTATGTAAAAGTACGTAAAATGTTACAATTGATAAAAAACCTGAATTAAAAAATGTATTAAATTTGACATTACTATATATTTTTGACATTATGTAAATTGTTTATTGACATGAGCTTAGTAGTTTGTTATTAAATCAATCTTTTGTTGTATGCATGTACGTTTCAAATTTTGCATGTCAGAACAGACTGACGAAATATGTGATTTTCTTCTAATAACTATAAACAGGCCAGGTGGAGTGACGATTTGCGCAAGATGGCTGGCAGGAGCTGGATGCGAGAAGCCCAAAATCGATCTAAGTGGCGTGCAATGGGAGAGGCCTATGTCCAGCAGTGGACTGCTATAGGCTGATGATGATGATGATGAACTATAAACAGCCCATGTACCATATTTCTGCAATTAAAGTATCATTTCATTTCATAATTTCATTTCATCTGAATAAGCTCTTTCAATCATAAAGATGTTCAAAATCAGTAAAATAAAATGATTGTATTGACTTTAGTCATTCTGTTTTGAAGATTGAAAACAAAATGACTAAAGTCAGTAATTAAGCTTAAGCGTAATTCAACTTATTTAGATTATTTCATAATACAGTAGTGTAGTAGGAAAAAAAAACAAAGGTTTGTTTTTTTCCTGTGCGGAAATCCCCTCGGATATCACCCACCGGTGGGGTGATTATGTCGGACTCGAACCGACCAAAAACCGCACGCCGTCTCGGGTACTAGTAGCCGGGGAACCAGGTGTACCTTAGAAAGGAAATCTCCGGTACCCCGACGTACCTCGGGCCATCCACGGCGTATAGATGACCCCGTTCCGTGTGGGAACCCCCATGTTCCCTTTGTGCTCCCAAGCAGCTCCGGAGCTTGGAGCTCCGGCACTCCAGCCTGCTTCTGCTAGGGTAACAGATGGCCTCATCTGTCACCCCCAGGCCCGCACTTATGGAGGATAGAGGTCGTTCTGCCGTTCCCGGGCCTGGCCTTATCGTATAAAAATAACCCTTTTTATACGATAAAGATAGTTGTCTCATTGACAATTTGAATGCAGATATATATTATTCAACGGCAATAGTTTCCTGTCAATTGGATAAGTTTTTGTGTGAACATATTTGATCGAGGTACACTTTACTCTTCCCAAGAATATTACAATATCAATCACTCATTAAGTCTAAGGGTTATTTTCATCTAAAATTGTATTGCACTTTCAACAACATACGGAGACTACAGACTAATTAGTATTGTCAAGCTTTGAAGGCAGAATCTGTTTTTTTTCTACAGATCAAGCCTGTTGTCGTAGTAATCATCTCACATACAATATCAGTGTTGCTGCCCTCAGCATTGGAGACCTGTTCTTACTTACTGTTTCTGCTTCATACCGGACTGTTGATATTTCGTGTGTTTGTTTGTCTTCCTCTATAGCATGCTCTACAGTTTAAAACGTTTGACTGATTTCTGTATAGAACGTGTATTTGTCTCAGTTATGCATCTGACTTCAGCATTATTATTTTGCTTTTTTGGATTTTTTATCAGTCTGATTTTTTTTAAGAATTATAATTATCTAGCAAATACTATAATTAATTTGATAAATGTTACTATTTGCATTTATTTTCAGTAGTCTAAACTGCGACCTTTTATAAGTTGAATAAACTACCCAGTTTAATTATTTCAACCAACAAAACCTATTATCATAACAGAATATATATATAAAACAAATACTGAAGGGCGGTTGGGTTTACCGAGCCCAATTATATTTAAATCGTTACTTTAATAAAGATTATTGAAATTGTACCATTCTGAACATAAATCCACGATGAGTTGAAGCTTAGATTTAATTTATGCGAAATAACAATTAAATTGCTGGTTGCATACATTTATTTCTTGTATCGTAATAATTTCCGGTTGCCTGGAAGAGATTGCTCTTAGCAATAAGGCCGCCCTTTTTACATTACATGTCTGAAATTTTTATGTACCTAAATACTTGTAAAATGTGTGCAAATAAAGAGTTATCTATCTATCTATCTACTTGTAAAAGGTGAACTGTGGCCTCAATAGGTTTAAATCTTTTAGCAAACAACCATCGACTTTTGTGTTATTGATATTATAATACATTTAAATAATATTGCGTTCTTAAGTAGCTAGCAGATTCGCAACAAGAAAAATGCAAAACTAAAATTTTAATTCAATGCATTAAAATTTTAGTTATGCAGCTTACTAAAATTTTTCTACAATCCGGTTTCTAACACGCTTTAAAGATTATTGTACCTCTGACCTGAAGTTGCTTGAGTTTAAATTTAAATTTAGTTGAAAATTTAAATTTAGGTCTACATACAAGTAACTTACTTTGTGAAAAATGTTACCAGTGGTGTCAAATTCGGTTTTTCACTTATTTTAAAACAGAAGTTTATTATGGATCTATACACTTATCCTTTTTAATTAGTTTATAGGAAATAGGGTATCATATCCCTTCATCACAAAGGGAGGATCGTTAGACTACGAGAGCCAATCATGCCTCCGCAGCCCCCTTGGCTGTTGTTGAGTTTATTATATACTTATATTAATAAAAACATTATTATTATTCACTTTATTACATTATATATACATATTGCGACAAAAGAACTACGAACAAATAAATCTTGGATTGAGGGATTAAATCAATCAGGACAAACAACACACAATCGTGGGGAAATAATTCATATTGCTACAGAGTTCTATAAAAACCTATACAGTAGGAGCACACAACAGACAAAAAATAACAAGCAGGAAGAATATAACAGTCACGAACACCTAGAAAATAATATAAACCCTATTGACCAACTTGAAATTATACAAGCAGCTAAAAAGTTAAAATTAGAAAAGAGCCCAGGCCCGGATGGTATTACCAATGAAGCAATTAAAAATGGATGTGAAATACTAGCATCATCACTAACATCATTATTTAATATAATTCTAGAAACTGGGAACACACCTGTACAATGGTCAGACTCCAATATAATCCTACTGTATAAAAAAGGAAACCCTATGGAAATCGGCAATTACAGGCCAATAAGTCTTCTACCAACTCTTTATAAACTCTTCTCTTCCATAATAAACCAAAGAATAACTAAAACTTTAGAAAAAAGGCAACCCATAGAGCAAGCAGGTTTTCGTAAAGGGTTTTCAACTATAGACCATATACATACTCTGGAACTTATTATCGAAAAATACCAAGAAAACCAAAGACCGCTCTACATAGCCTACATAGACTACCAGAAGGCTTTTGACACAATTTCACACAATAGTATTTGGGAAGCATTAAATAAACAAGGCGTAGAAAAATGAGTACATACAAGTAATAAAAAGTATATACAATAATAGCGTAAGTAGAGTCAAACTGGAATCAACTGGCCCAAACTTTAACATCAATAGAGGAGTAAGACAGGGCGATCCATTGTCCCCGATACTATTTATTGGAGTATTAGAAATAATCATAAGTAATCTAGACTGGGAAAAATGTGGCTTATACATCAAAGGCAAATACCTAAGTCATTTAAGGTTTGCAGATGATCTGGTACTACTGTCTGAAACCGGTGGCAACTTAGAGGGAATGATACAATCGCTACATGATGCAAGTAGACTAGTCGGGTTAGAAATCAACTTGACAAAAACAAAGATCATGACAAACAGCTATAAAAGAACCATCGCACTAGAACACAAAGTAATACAGTACGTGGAACGGTATGTGTACCTAGGAAAACAGATATCATTTGACAGCAATAGCAACGAACTAGAGGTAGAACGCAGATCAAGAATTGCCTGGAATAAGTTCTGGAGTTACAAGGAAGTGATGAAAAGTAACATGCCAATAGAAGTGAAACAGAAGGTGATGGACTCGTGTATTTTACCATGTCTTACATATGGATGTCAAACTTGGAAATTTACTAACAAAATCAAAAATAAAATAATAACTTGCCAGAGGGGAATGGAACGCAGCATGCTAAAAATAAGAAAGACACACAAAATCCGTCATACAAAAATAAGAAGCATAACCAAAACAATTGATGCTCTCAAATATGCTCAAAGATTGAAATTCAAGTGGGCTGGTCATGTGGCACGACTTAAAGATCACAGATGGACATCGGAAGTAACTACATGGGCTGGTCCTCAGGGCAACCGGCGTGTTGGTAGACCATATATGCGATGGGAGGATGACATCAGAAAAGCCGTTGGACCAGATTGGATCACTGTGGCACGAGACAGAAGCAAATGGAAATCTTTGGAGGAGGCCTTCACCTGAGAGGGGTCCATGTAAATAATTATAAATAGATAAAGGATAAACTATTTAAATTTTCTATTATTATCAAATTAAATTTTATTGTACTCTTAATTTAAATAATGAAATGATTACCATAATAATTTATTGTAATTTATATTTAATAAGAAGTTAAATGGAATAAAAGTTTATACTTAATTATAATAATATTTAACAATCAAGCATGTAATGTCAAAAAGATTTATTTATTTTTTTACTTTGTTTTTTTTGTAGATGCATGGAATAAAAGGCTTTTTTATTTTTATTTTTATTTTTATTTTATTTATTATACATATTATTACATTTTAAATATATTACAAAAGAAAAAAATACATTCAAAAATGGTAGACCACCAACACCGCGTACAGGGGCCAAGACACCGGTGGTTAGGACTCCAAAGATATGAACCTCCTCACTATATAGGCCGTGTCAAAGAGAACTGCCTTCTGCATCAGACCCTTAATACAGCCATACCCTGCTGACTGCACCACCCACGTTCATCGGTTATGTGCAAATATTCACCGTAAGCAAGACGAGAACAACCAGAAATAATATGCCTGATTGATTTTTGATTTTTTGATTGATTTGTCCAAACAAGCCGTAATTTTCTCCGAAGAGATCACCATACCAGAGCCAAGTCGTAGATGCTTTTAAGTCTATATAGGACTTGTTTAGGGCCCGATAAAACTGACCATGAAGCTCTTTGCCCTTCCATACGATCATTAGTACCAAGTGCTATAGGTTTGTGCCCATTCTCTTTAGCCAGAACGAGCGGAGTGAATCCGATATCCACTGCAACTACAATGCGATGCATTACCATATCAGTATGTAGAAAGTATTCTCTGAGATTTTATATCTCGCGATTGTGTACTTTTCAATCTCATAACCGATGAACGTGGGTGTTGATTTGGAATGCAGCCAGCAGTGTACGGACTCTCCTGTCAAGGGCATCTGATTCGGTCTGAGTCCATATAAGTATACCAAAGGAATACAACAGAACTGGCATGATCCAACCATTGCAAGCTTGTTGCCCCCTTTTTTTTTTTTTTTTCCTGCGAAATCCCCTCGGATACCACCTATCGGTGGCATGTCGGACTCGAACCAACTAAAACCGCACGCTGTCTCGGGTACTAATAGCCGGGGAACCAGGTATACCCTAGAAAGGAAGTCCCTGGTGAACCGACATACCTCGGGCCATCTACAACAAGTAGACGACCCCGCCCCCCCCGTGTGGGCCCCATGTTGCCTCTGCTCCCTGGAAGCGAGTGCGCTTCGCAACGCGCTCGCCGCCACCCCAGCCTGCTTCTGCTAGGGTGACAGATGGCCTCACCTGTCACCCCCAGGCCTGCGCTTATGGAGGACGGAGGTCGTTCTGCGACCTCCGGCGCCTGAGTGCCCCGGTACCTGGCCCGGTTTTGTTGAATCTTAAAGCTCTGTTCCTTCAGATTCTACGATCACGACCTTTTACATACATGATCGCACACTTGTCTACACCAAATTTCATCTTGATGGAATTACTAGAGTTTTCCTTCGCCTTTAGTAACGCTGTCAATTGTAATTTAGTAGGGGCTAGTAGTTTTAAATCATCCATATAAAGAAGGTGAGATATAACTTAATCATCTTTATGCAACCTATAGCCTAACCCTGATCCCTTAAATAGAGTGCTAAGAGGGTTCAAAGCCAGACAAAACCACAAGGGACTCAGACTGCTTGCAATGGCCGCACAGTATAAAAGAGAATGCGTATCACTAAGATCTCCGCTATTGTCTAAATAATCAGGCAACAACAAACCCAGGGCATCCATCAGCGCTAAATTTCGTTTATGAATGAGCAAACGTAATAACCGGGGTCTGTTATTGCAATTTATATACCGGTATTCTAGAATCGCATCCTCCAATTATTATTATTTTGATCAAATTGGTCGTATATGAGATGAGAACTTTTTACATTGCGATACAGGACTACCAGTTATTCCGTAGTTCGATGTGTCTTCGTTAGATGGCACTGAAGTATGTTTATTTCAATGTATGTATATGGACGTTGCCACGAGACCTTGGGAAATAATCACATAAACTAGTACGGCCTAGAGAGTTTAGAGCGTCAAGAAATCCTTACCTATTCGGATTGTGTCTGGCAGAGCTGACAGATGACCGAAAAATAGTATCAGAAATACCGCCTTTGCCCCTCTCATTCTGTAACAAAGACATTAGATTTTGTGAGTATTTTATTCTTAACTAAACCACTTACTATAACTATAAGCGATCACTGATGAATATAAACTCTTGCAATAACAAAGGTGTGATTCCATGTTTTAAGCTGATTCATTTACAATCAGAAACACGTCAACTGTATTTCTTGATTCCTGAAACTTGTTTTGACAACAAAGTTCATTGTTTTAGAAGCCTCGACCCAAAACTTCAATTCAACATTTCATACATAAGTATCAAACTGTTTTTATTGTAACATATTTTCAGAACCTAATTTCCCAATAGAGGTCTTGAGGTTTTCCGTACAAAACTTCCCTTGAAACATTTTATATAAAAATAAAAGGCTCGAAGTCAAGAACAGTAATAAAAGTGTTAAAATAAATTTATATTTTAGAAATATTTTTATTAGAGATATGTCGTTTTCTATCTTCAAAAATGCTACATCCATTACGATATTTGAGGAGTTTCATAAATTGTGAGACGTTCTATATAAAAGACGATCTCAAAAAAGTTTGAGTTTGTTAGAATTCAATGATGAGATAAGAAAGGAGTTAATTTTACCGTTAGGTAAATTCCGTGGCACTGATTAGGCAAAGGAATAGCAACCAAACGAAATTAAAAGGGAAATTGAATTAAAAATTGCTTGAGAGTGTCATCAAACGCTACGGTGCTGACATTGTTTGTGACAGCTGCGAGTCTAAAATAAAATTCTTAAGTTAAAGTTCTTTATAAGGTTCATTTGCAGGAAAATTTAGGCAGGATCACTCAAGTAGGCAACACAGTTATCACTTACCATCAGGTGACCCGCCTGCTCGTTTGCCCTCAAATACCACGAAAAAAAGAAATCAAATTGCGTTTTAAGTGAAGTGATTTCCAATGCTTGATGACAAATCTGAACATCAAAGCTTTGATTTAAAAAAAAAGCAAATTGATATCGATCGCATAGAACAATCGGTCAGACTCGGAATAGTTTAACTTTTTTTATTGCACGGGCCGTTATGCTGGCTGGCTGGCTAGTCAGCCTGTGACTAAAGCCAATGTCAGCTCGGAACGTCAGGCACTTCAAAGGTATGTACTTAATACCTACCGCGAATGCGTTAATTTTTGTAAACATAATGATATAGCTAGTATAAAACTAGTAACTTTTCCTCGTGGCTTTGCCCTCGCGTGTGTGTATCGCAGTAAAAAGTATATTACTCGCTGATAATAATATAATAATAATTTATCCCTTTATTGTACACCAGATATAAATATACAACAATTGTCTTAAACTAGGTTAGTTCAAATGGCGGCCTTATCGCTCAGAGGCAATCTCTTACAGGCAACAATGGTATGGAGAGAAAACATGAAGGGGAATATAGCTTTCCATTTTTGAAAGAATTAAAAAATATAGTGGTTTGGGCGTGAAAGCGTAACAAACAAACTCACTTTCACATTTGTAATATAAGTATGGATGTAACGCGATAGCTTAAATGTTAGAGTGCATATATCTTATTTAGTGCAATTGACAGTTGCTTCAAAGTACTTACATTTGTGTTTATGCGTGTCATCGCTATACTTTTAAATACATATGATTAACTTATAGCAATCGGAAGATATCCTATTTAGTTAGTAAATAAAGAAAGTAAACTTCCCTTACCCAGAAGTTTTTCAAAGGTGTACTAAAATACACTTTGAGGTCGTCGAGGAAGTTTCAATGTGATTAAGTTCCAAACCTACACTAGTTTATCATAGTTCCTAGTAAGGGTTCCAGGCAGTAAACGGCAGCGCGATAAGATTTCAAAACTAAGTTACTTAAGACCAATATCTTGATGATTTGATTATAATCTATAAGACATTCCATTCATTAGAGGGTATTTTACCACCGTACACGATTTTAGTGCTCTACATTCTAAATTTTAGTTATATTTACATAATAGTCAAATTAAGAGATTGACCACATTCAACACACGTCACCTTTATTGCCCGGTCTGTGTCAAAATCACCTACATATAACAGTCGCAACCACACGACACAGATCGACTAATATCATGTTAAAAGAAATAGGTGGTGGAGAAAATTAAAGAAGTGGTTCGAATATAAGTCGCGTTATAAATGTTGAAATGAACATAAAACTTATGTGATATGTAGAAGCACTAATGTATACAATGTTAACGAGCGTATCTCACCAACAAACTGTGTAGTTTGGCGTGAAACTTATGTATAATTTTTTTTATAAATAAATCATTTAAAAAAAGCTGTTTTTTTCAAAAGATCCGAAACAAACTAAATAATTATTTATAACACTAATTTAAAAATAATTAAACAAAAATAAAAATGATAAAATGTTTGTTCATACCACCAAAGTGTTTTTAAACTGCAGTTTATTTTATTTTACATATGTGTGTATGTGCGGTAATAAAATAAATCTTAGAAATAGCTGAAGTTTTGTTTAAATGTTAACGAAGTCTTCTTCTTAACGATATGTACTATAATTGAACTAAGAAGATAATCGTAAGATGTTATGCGCCTTAGAATTTCATTAAGCAGAAATTTGTCCATCCATACAGAGCAGGGCGTGCATACATAACAAAGATTACACACCACTCATCAGTGGGTGATTACTATTTTGTATTTAATTAGTGAAATAGTTGGTAAAATAGTAATAAATAAAATACACGAGGCATCTTGTATGTACATTTTAAAATCTTTTCATCATCGATTCTTCGATCATTATCGATCTTAGTTAAACATCAAACGAGTCTAGTGAGGTTCTTTTCCATTTATGTGCCCTATTTTTGTCCGTTATTCATATTACAAAAGTAAGGAAAGTCGTTGTTCTTGTCACAACTAAACCGTACACCCTCATCAAACCCAGAGGCTACATTTTCATTAGTTTAAAACAGTCCAGGGCATAGACGGATGTGTAAATAATGGTCGGTCCATGTGTGAAGGGCTTGTGAAGAATGTCTGCTGTATAATTAACTACGGTTAAGAAATGTTACAAAGGCTTACGCTTCTTATAAATCACTTCTTGTGAATCACTTTTGTAAACAATATGTTTACAATAATATAAATTTATATTTCTAGTTGGGTTTAGTAGTAGGTAGCAGGGTACTGCAAGGCGCTCTACTCGGACCATTACTCTCATACTATGTGAACAACATGGACTTTTGCTTCCAATCCTTCTAACTACTCTGTTTTGGGGATGACATAAAAAAAATCTCATCAGAATCACATTTAGAGGACGTCAAGGTTCTGCAACAAGACTTGAGAGGCTCTCCAGATGCTTCAAAAAAGACAATACGCTGAAGATCTTGTACTCTACTTATGTCAGAAGCCATCTCGAATATGCCTCACTAATATGGAACCCTTGCTATGACATGTACATAAGCTGTATTGAAAATGCCCAAAAACGTTTTATAAGATTTTTATGTCATCGCCTTTGAATACCCTATTCTTCTGAAAATTATGTAAAGAAATTTGCAAGAAATTTCACATTCAGCCTTTAACTTACCGTTGTCGATTAGCAGATTGTTCATTATTATTATGCAAGAAATATGATTACGATCCTTACACCATAAAAAGTGACATGGCCACTAAGTTCAAACGAACCGTAATGAATACATTTGGAAGCCATGTTCGTGCATTGAGAGTTCTTGAATTTTATCGAAAATAATATTATTTTACTCATGAAAACCTGTAATTGGCTTTCTGCAATTTATTGTTACGCCTGAAATGGTGACTCATAGCTGTTGGTCTTCCTTAAATAAAATAAATAAATATTTACTAAATAAATATTACTACTTCTTCAATATTAGTGCAATGTCAATTAATATACATAAAACGGTAATGAGTAAAGCCGATTAGCTAAAGCGAAAACTTGCAGTTAGGAACGTCGAACTCGGGTCGGAGTCCTGAGACTCGACAAAACGAGGATCAGAAATCGACGAGTGGAAGGAACGACTTGGGTAAACAGAGCCCCGGGCACGCCGTTATGGGCTGAGGTGGGTGGCAGCGCGATGAGCTACAGAGCTCGCACGCCCTTCGGGGCCAGGAAGGAAACATCGGGGTTCCCACACAGGAAGGGGTCATCTTTAAGCCGTAGATGACCCGAGGTTCGTCGGGGTACCAGGGATTTCCTTTCTAGGGTATACCTGGTTCCCTGATTACTAATACCTAGAGATGGCCTGCGGTTTTAGGACGGTTCGAGTCCGACATAATCACCCCGCAGGTGGGTGGTATCCGAGAGGAGTTTGGCACAGGACACAAAAAAAGGGTTAAGACTGATAACAGATGCCAAACAAAAACATAATTGAATACGACTCATCTATAATTTTTCTGGAATATTATTCATTTGCCATCACTGTGGCATAAATAGTATATACAAAGCGAACAGAATCTTGTTGTCAAGTCGCCAAGTTGCCAAGTACAGCACTTATTTACTTCCTACACTTGTGTCTAATAGACAACGCAAGGGTGTTAATAGAATGCGGCTGGGGATTGTAGTTTCCTTCCTTCGGCACTTATTATACAACTTCTCTGGGACCATGTGATATGATTGTAATGTAACAGTAGCAAAGGAATGAGGCTTTTTGTTGACCAAATTAGTTACTATATGTTGCTCGAAAATATTTTCATCATTTCATTTGTGTGGAGTTGATTATGAAATACTATAACAAGAAGTTTGTGCGTATGCGTTTGCTTTCCTTTCACGGATCTAGATATGTCATATGAAGGTTGGGGCACGTGTACATTTTATCTAGCATCGAAAATAAAAGAGAAAATTATATTAAAATAGAGGTGAGGAAGAACACCAGTTTTAAATGTGTAATATCTGATTATCTGTTAAATTTATACATACATTTCAAATATTAGCTTTGTGGATAAATTTAATTTTTAAAGAAGAAGAAGAAGAAATAGCAACTTTAGTTTGTTTAGGCAACAAGCTCTTTTTACTGTTTGATTGATAATGCTGTTTGGTATAAAAGCACCTGGCTTGGTT